AGGTGTGGTGGCACATACCTTTAATCCCAGCAGAGGTGGGTGGAGCTCTGAGTTTGAGGTTGAGGCCAGCCTGTTCTACAGAGAGAGTTCTAAGACAGCAAGGGCTACACATAGAAACCCTGTCTTAAGAAGCAAAAAAAGAAGCCAGGCGGTGGTGGCACATGCCTTTAATCCCCACACTCGGAGGCAGAGACAGGCTGATCTCTGTGTTCGAGACTAGCCTAGTCTATAAGAGCTAATTCCAGGACAGCCTGCAAAACCACAGAGAAACCCTGTCTGGAGAAAAACCCGGGGGGAGGGGGGAAGGAAAGCCAAAAGGAAGAAAAAATACAGATTTGTTAAAAATATAGGTTTGTTTTTATTTTGTGTGTTTTTCCTGCAGTGCCATAAGAGGGTTAGATCCCCTGGAGCTGGTATTATAAGCAGTTTGAGCCATCATATGGGTGTTGTGAATCAAACCCCAGTCCTCTGCCAGAGCAACCAGTTATTTTAACTGATGAGCCACTTCTCTAGTTCCCTAACCCCCTCCCTACTTTATCTTTTAAAGTTCTGTTGAACCAAGAATTGAAGGAAGCAAGACTGGAACTTTACATTTTTATTGTATATTGGACAGGCATGTTCACCATGTAGAAGTTAGAGGATAATTTGGCAGAAGTTAATTGTCTGTTAGATGGGTCCCAGGAATCAAACTCAGGTTGTCAGGCTTGGTGAGCATAAAGCCCATGGCTGTGTAAGATAGATGCCATGTTCTAGAGGCTGCCTGTCCTCTCCTCCTTGCCCTGTGTGACTCTAGTCTCCTGTCTGGCTAGCCTATGTATTTCCTGCAAGTATATTGACTTTCTGTCTTTGGCAGGGGAGTCAGAGTCACTTTTCTGAATGTGTACTATCTGTGGTGGTCCAAATCACTGTACATAGATTGCAGGAGTGTGGTCCTGGAAAGGAACTATATGGAGTTGTATTCCCAAGGGTTCACTCTGTATTCTTCTGCACTTTTGTGGCTTCTCAGACAGGGGTCTATCCACAGCAGAAGTTGATGCATAGCAGTAGTCATGGAGACCCACCTGGACCACATGGATGCTTCCTCCAAGAGGCCAGTCTAAGCCGGGCATTGGTAGCACACACCTTTAAGCCCAGCACTCGGGAGGCAGAGACAGGTGGATATCTGTGAGTTTAAGGCCAGCCCGGTCTACAAGAGCAAGTTCCAGGACAGGCTCTTCAGAGAAACCCTGTGTCAACCCCCCCTCCGCCCCCCCCCCAAAAAAAAGCCGTGAGGTAGGCGCACACTCCTTTAATCCCAGCACTCCAGAGGCAGAGGCAGAGGCAGGTGGATCTCTGAGTTTGAGGCCAGCCTGGTCTCCTCCAGAGCGAGTGCCAGGATAGGCTCCAAAGCTACACAGAGAAACCCTGTCTCGAAACCCCTCCCCCCCTAAAAAAAGAGGCCAGTCTAGGTTGGGAGCCTGCAACAAAGTGGGGTGGCTGCTGGAGCCCAATGGGGTAGAGTGGACCTTTCTTACCCCCTGGTACCCTGGTACTATGAGCTGGCCTTCTGTCAACTGTCTGGAAGAGCCCAGCATTTGCTGTGGCTATAGCCTTGCTGCCTTCTGCAGTGCAGAAGCCTGGCTCCTTTGGAGTTAATTGGGTCAGTGAGTGTCACCCGGCTGCCAGACCCAGCTTGAGATCACCAGACCAGAGTAGAGAAGGCAGAGGGTGGAGAGCTGGGATCCTATTAAGCAAAATATCTCAGTGTCTGGGGCGGGGCAGCCTCCTACGTGCCCAGATGCATGTGCAGCTTCCTTCCCAGGATGCTGGACTCCTGGCCCAGCAGTCATGCCTGAGAGTAGCAGACCCCAGCTCCTGCAGGAGTGCTGGTTCTGTTCTCCCTCTTAAGTTTTCCTCTTGCCTTGTGAGTTTCCGTGCACAGGGAAGGCAGCTCAGCAAAGGGGTGCCTGGCCCTGCTGTCAGCTGTGGCTTGTCCACTGGCCACCCTCTGCCACCTTTCTCTCTTCACGAGAGCTGGGTGATGGGACTTGACTGGCAATATTGGGAACCTAGGGCATTCTGCATCATGGTGAAAACTGTCTGCCACCCTGTGTGGGAGGCTGTGATGGGAAAACCATTCCTGAGAAGGGCTGCTGTCTGTTCATATCCTGGAGTGTGTGCTAGGGAAGCAGTCTTGGCCTTTGAGGTTTCTGAGGGTCTTGCGAGGCCCCTAGAGTTTGTAGAAATCAATTGAGCAGAGCAGAAGCTGGAGAGGTGGTTCTGGGTGAGCTCAAGGTGGGTTAGGACAGGGCAGCTCTGACTACTATGGCTGTGCTTTGGCCTCTGCCTGCTACCCCTATTCCTAGGGAAGGTAGCCTCATCTTCATGGAGGGGGACAGGTTTGGGTGGGCTGTTTCCCTTTAAAAGCTCTTGCCTGGAGGCCCTTCTTTGCGGTTTACCTCACACACACACACCCCCAGGCTAGAGACAGCGTGGCCCAGCTCTGTAGGCAAGCAGTAGAGTTCCAACTTGATTGGGACTGGATGGGTATTGCCTTAGACAGGGAGATGGAAGATGGTATAAAAGCCAGCCTGCCTGGGCGAGCTCTGCTGCTTCACAGAGCTGGGCATGTCTCTTGGTTTCTAGGGCCTTGGCTTGCTCATTTGTGAAACTGGCTTGTGACATCCTGTGCCTGGTATCTTGCATGGTCAGGGAAGTTGAGCACAGAAGCAGGGGAGAGTACAAGGAGCAGGTTTGAGGGCTTACCAGTGGGGGACTAAGACCACAGCTCAGGCCTGGTGGCGGCACTCTCATTCTCAGATGGAAGCTTGCTCTCTTGGCAGTAGCAGATCAGAGTGGGGCAACCAATTGGCTGTTACAAATTGAAGTTGACCCCACTCTACCCCGAGCCCTTCTGGGTCTCTTTTAGGACCACCTTCTGGGAAGGGCTCAACAGGGTCTAGCTAGGGACTGTGTACAGATGCTGAAGTCCTGTGGTTCACTGATAGCTCTGCCTCTAGAGAGTCAGGAAGCATGATGCTGTTTGCCAGAGAGGTGCTGACAGCAATCAGTAGCCTTGGTTGGGAATTCTGGGGTAGTAGCTCTGAGGGAGGTATTCCATGTTTGTCTTTCCAGATCTTCTGTCAGTCCTCATCACTGTCCCTGTTTGTCCTGGGTGGGTGGATGAATTTGGGGCTCTGGGACAGATCACGCCCCAGAGAGCAGTCTAATGATAAGGGCAGGCCTGGGTCTCTACCTGCCACCCTCTGATATGTGTGTACCACAGCAAGTGGCCCCAACAGCCTCCCTTGCTTGGGCTGCAGGCTGAAGCTGCTGAGACAGGCCCTCTTTGATACAGAAGGAGCAGGGTATATGTGGCAGTGGCTCTTATAGGTCCTTATCTCTGCCACCTTTGCTATGCTCTGAGCCCTCCTCTAGCTCTTACTTCAGTCAAGCTGAACGGGCCTCAGGCTGTTCCTTCATTTTGGTTTCCACCTTACCTAGACTTTGTTCCTCTTTCCTGGTCCCTGTCCCTCCATCCTGGGCCCCTAACCTGCTTCCTAGTTGTTCCTCTGAACCTTCCTTTGTGGCTCAGACTGAGGACTGTATATACAGAGCATCACCTGCCCCAGAGTATCTCTTTCCTGCAGTTGGCCTGGAAGGCAGAGAGAGGTGGGAATAGAGCCAAATGGGGATAAGCCAAGGCTCCTCATCTAGGACAAGGCAAGTGAGTTCAGGCAAGGACTTGGGGTCTTGGGCATACAGGCCTTGATGAAGCAGTCTAAGCCTATATTTGTGAACAGCCTCCCACCTGAGCTACACCCAGTTTGTCAATCTTGGGAACACACTGGAGTGCTACAGCCAGGCTGCCTGAACACACTTCTTAAAAGCCCAACTTCTCTGGTGTAATTCTGGGGCACATGGGTGGGCTCTTCACACATTCAAATCCCAGGTAGGTGTTCAGATGTTTTGTGTCTATCACTTGTGGGGTGTTCATGTGTAAGCATTAGTCATAGGGACTGGGAGGCTGGGTAGGAATGGAGAGTACTTGGAGTCTGAGTACATGTTTGGGGTAGCTGACTTGTGGAGCAGGTGGCCATTGGCTGCTATAGTTGGGTTATCTGTCCATCCAGCTCTTAAAAGGCTAGCAGAAGGGCAGTCTCTTCTTGTCTGGGCCCTGGAAGAGATTTGAGGAACCTCCTACAGCTGAGTTCCTGAGGATCAGGGAGTGCTATGGGAATGGGGTGGGGCCTTTGCTTTTTGCTATGAACTGTAGGAGGGAGGGCCTTTTCCCTGTGATTCCTAAGGCCTGCTCCACCCAGCTGGCAGCTACACTGCAGGGATCATGCTGCTTGTAGAAAATTTCAGGATGCTTAGACCCAGTTGGGAATGTTGGTTGTTACAGCTTTGGGAGTGATTTGCCATGGGAGGCCCCACAGTTTGGGTCTTGGCACTGTCAGATATGTGGTCCTTGTTCACATCAGGTTGAGTTAAGCTTGGGGTCTTGATTAGACAAGGGAAAATACTGGTACCCAGGTGAGGGTCTGTCTGTCTGAGCTTGAGAGAGGTCAGTGGAGGGGAGGAGACAGGATGCCTCCTGCTGAAAGAGTCTGCTGGCCTCTAAAGACCCATAAGGCTGCATCAGAACAGCTGGAGACTTCCTTGTTGCTGATTCAGCCTGACAGTACCAGTGTGTAATCTGCTGGCATTGTGGATTCCGGTGCTGGGAGCTGACCATTCTTGAGCCTAAGAGTCATTGGACAGGAGTCATCTTTATAGGTAGTGGTCCACATGTACATCAACCTTTTCCTACAGTCTGAAACACTGATACCATATTTAGTATGACCATGAAACAAGTACCCATCCTATCCCCCAAGCCACTTTCCACAGATGTCCTTGTAGGTAGATTACATGTTCAGGGTGCCTGTTGTGGTCCCAAGGGCCCAGAGCTCTTCAGGTAATGTCCAATGAAAGAATATGCAAAGTACTCTCCCATCTCAAATGCTTGTTCTGTCTTATAGGAAATGGCCAATTCTGTCTACCTGGTCATGGAGGTAAGTTCCCGTGGGGCCAGAGGGATGGGCAGAGGGATAGAGGTGGGTGGATATAACCATGAACTATTGACATTGCTAGCTAAGATTTGGGGATACCTGTACTGGACAGGTCCAAGGAACAGTTATGCGGTTAAGGAGCTGGAGGGTCTTTGGCCATGTTCTGATGGTGTGTCCCTGGTCTTTTGCAGTATTGTAATGGTGGAGACCTGGCTGACTATCTGCACAGTGAGTAGGCACATCCTAACTGGGCACTGCTGCTAGCGTAAGATGCTGCTAGCTTGACTTGCCCCTTCCTTGGTTGTGGCATCGATCTTTCTCATTCCCTCCTGCTTTGGGGCTGTATAGAAGGAGCCCAGCTCTTTCAGGCCCTTAGGCCTCACCACTCTCAGTTATTTATGGAGTGTCTCCCACATGCTGGGTGGGTGGCTTAAGTAGAATAGTCAGGTGCTGCTATTTTGGCGGGGATGAGGACACAAGCAGGGTAGATGGGTCAGAGCAAGCACAGGGAGGGTATACCCTTTTCATGGTTGGGTGTGTGTGGGTCTTTGGGTACAGATTAATTAGAGAAGTGCTTCCAGCAGAGCAAAGAAGCTTCAGGCAGCAAGAGAGCTTAGGACCCACTGAAAGAGAACAAGTGGGTGGGTTATGATGAACAGAGTGAAGGGGCATTGATATCTCTCCCTTGGAGTGCTCTGAGGGTCTGAGAGAGGCAAGTTGTGACAATGCAGGGACATTGACCCAAGGCCTGGAAGGATGCAGTGATTATCCACGATTGTAATTCAGAATGCTTCACCTTGGCAAACACAAAGCAGGAAACAGGAATTGATGGCTCAAAGCAGCCTGTCTCAGATATGCCTTCTGCCTCAGATCTGAGCACCTCCTAGCAAACCTCCTGAGCATTACCCAGAGGGATATAGGCATTTTGAACAGACTTCTGTTCTTTGGGTCCTCCCTCTGCTGGAGCCTCTGGACAAGTCCCCAGACTGAGATGCTGGCTTCTTGTTGAGCTATCAGAATAGACCCTGGGTCTAGGAGGGCCCTACAAGGTCTGCTGGGATGAGTCACCTGTGGAGTAGGTGTAGGGGTGCTGTCTTTAGGCTCCTGGCCTGAGATGCAGTGGCCTGTCAGCTCCCTGCATGCTCAAGTTCACGTGACTGAGCCATGCTTGGTTTTGCCTGTCCAATATTTGCTCTTGCCTCCTGGAGCAGCCTGCTATACCCATGACCTTCAGGAGTTGAGTGGTTCCTGGCAAGTTTCCAGACTCCACAGGTGTTAGGTTGGCCCTAGATCAGCCTCAAATGTCACCTGTCTGTGGAGGAGGAAAGGGTGAGCAGGCCAGTACAGGGCTGACCCGTAACTTTGAGTGCCTCAGGTGCTCGTAGACCCCTATGTATGTGTGTGTTTGTGTGTTTGAGCTTGTGTAGGCTCACCTGTCATGTGACTTGGCTATGGTGAGCTGCTGTCCCAACAAAAGGGGTTGTGTCATCCAGGCTGGATCTGAAGTGAATGTTCTGTTGGTATGTGCCAAGTGTGTATGTCTAATGTTCTGGTGTCTGCCTGCCAGGCTTTGGATGGGTGGTCCTTGTACTCTGCCTTTTTAGATCTGGTTACCAGTGAGGTGCCACCTGCTATGGCTTCTACTGAGATGGCTCAGTGGTTAAGAGCACCGACTGCTCTTCAGGGGACCCAGGTTCAATTCCAGCATCCTCATGGCAGCTAACAATGGTCTGTAACTCCAAGATCTGACACTCCAAGACATGCATACAGGCAAAGCACCTATGCACATAAAATAAAATAAAAGAACAGCAGACAAAGTTTCAGGACTGGAGAGCACACAGCACAAGGGATAAAGCCTGAGGGGAGTCAGGTAGGAGTCAATTGACATGAAAACAACTTTGGTATAAAAAAGGAAAAAAAAAACTTAGCCAAGTGGTGATGGTGCACACCTTTAATTCCAGCACTCTTGCAAGGCAGAGGCAGACTTATCTCTTTGAGTTCTCGGCCAGTCTGGTCTATAGACTGCCAGTGCTACCCAGAGAAACCTTGTCTTTAGAACCAAAATAACAGACAAAACTTTGTTTTTGTTTGTATGAATGTTTTGTATGTATGTGAACCATATTCATGCCTGGTACCTGACAGGGTTCCAGAGTCTCCTGGGATTGGAGTTACAGGTGGTTGTGAGCAACCATGTGGGTGATGGGAACCAAACCCAGGTTCTCTGCAAGAACAGCAAATGCAGAGCCGGGCGTTGGTGGCGCACGCCTTTAATCCCAGCACTCGGGAGGCAGAGGCAGGCGGATCTCTGTGAGTTTGAGGTCTCCAGAGAGAGTGCCAGGATAAGCTCCAAAGCTACCCAGAGAAACCCTGTCTCGAAAAACCAAAAAAAAAAAAAAAAAAAAAAAAAAAAAAAAAAGAACAGCAAATGCTTTTAACTGCTGAGCCATCTCTTCAGTCCCTGTCCCCACTTTCACTTACTTTTTGGAGGCTACTGTGGACTAGGAGGCAAAAGACCTATCAGAACTAAGGACAAAACCTGGTAGTTCATTGCCTGCTACAGGGATATGGAAGATCTAGGAGGTGTCAGTGGAGAAGTAGAAACCAAGAGCTAGCAGTTAGGGGTTGATGTGGAGGGGATCCTACAAGGGTGTGTGTAGGGGGTCAATGTAAGCCACGCCTACTAGAAGCTGGCTACAGGTGTGCCTGACCACGCCTGTCAGGGCAGGGTCAAGGTGAGGTCAGGATGACTCATGATAGGGTTTTTTTGTTGTTTTTCTTTTTTTCTTCGAGACAGGGTTTCTTTGTGTAGCTTTGGAGCCTATCCTGGCTCTCGCTCTGGAGACCAGGCTGGCCTCCAATTTACAGACATACGCCTGCCTCTGCCTCCCCAGTGCTGGGATTAAAGGCATGTGCCACCAACGCCCGGCACGTGATAGGGTTTTAAGGGGCTGCAAGGCATATGGGAGCTCTCTTCTCTCTGACCTCCCTGCCTTGCTGCCCCTGGCACACTCTGGCTTGCATTTGGCTGGTGTTTTTTTTTGGGGGGGGGGAAGGGGACTGGTGTTTTTCTAATAAAAGATATCTTTATCCCAAGCTCTTTTTATTTCTTAATAGGTGTGTGGGAAGAGGGGCAGGTGGACTTTGGGGTTGAAATAAGAAAGGACCAGCTTCTGAAGGTTGCAAGACAAGTTGGCCATGGTGCCCAGTGGCTTGCAGAATGGGGTTGGCCCTGTGTGCTGGAGGGTCTTGGGAGTGGTATTGTCACTAGGCTGAGATTGTCTTTCCATACAGCCATGTACACTCAAGACCATGGTGTCCCAAGTTCCCTGAGCCTGCCTTTTCTTACAGCCATGCGCACACTGAGTGAAGACACTGTCAGGCTGTTCCTACAGCAGATTGCTGGTGCCATGCAGCTGTTACACAGCAAGGGCATCATCCACCGCGATTTGAAGCCCCAGAACATTCTGCTGTCCAATCCTGGGGGTCGCCGTGCCAACCCTAGTAATATCCGAGTCAAGATTGGTGAGACCTGTTGGGGTGGTGGTTCCCTGAGAGACTGCAGCAGGGGACACTGCCAAGAACAATTTCAGCTCAGGCTATCTGGGTGCTTTTTCATGCAGCTGACTTTGGATTTGCCCGATACCTCCAGAGCAACATGATGGCAGCCACACTCTGCGGTTCTCCTATGTACATGGTACGTGCCCATTCATGATCCAGGACTACAGGGCAGGGCAGGGCTGGGCTGGTGTCAGCCTCTACCTGAGACCCTTTGCAAGAATGTCAGAACCCCTAAGGATCAGCTGTGGCCTCTTAGGTTGTAGACAGTAGCAATACCATTTTGTCATGTCAAAACTGGTTGGTTGTTGCTTTGGTGCGTGGTGTTGCTTGCTTGGTACCCGGCAGATCTCTGCTCCAATTGGCTGGTGCCTGGCTCCTGTTATTGGTTATTGAATACTACTGTACTGATCTGCATTGTCACTCTGTAGGCCCCTGAGGTCATCATGTCCCAGCACTACGATGGTAAGGCTGACCTATGGAGCATTGGCACCATTGTCTACCAGTGTTTGACAGGGAAGGCCCCTTTTCAGGTAAGTGAGCCCCATGACATTAAGGTCTTAGTGACTCCCAAAAGCCCTAGAGGATAGGGGTCTGTTTGGGCAGCATTCAAGGTGGTGTCCCCAGCATGGAAGAATACAAGGTTGCCAGATAGGGAATCAGTTTGAGGTTATAGGTACCGAGCTTGGTGGCTATCCTCTAGGTGAAAGCTCTTGCCTTACCCTGTCCCAGGGGTCACTGAAACATTTTCTTGAGTCAGGTGGCCTTAGGCCCTGCCCAGTCACCCCTGATCTCTACCACATAGTTATTTCCTGCCTCACAGAGCCTCTTATCTAGGGCTTAGGTCATACCCCTCTGCTTGGTCAGAGTCATGTCTCAATATGGACCTTCCATCCACCCTTGCTTCTAAAGCAGGTATAAGCCCAAGTGTAGGTAGCCCAAACTTGGAAGTAAAATCTTCATCAAGGGGAATTTGAGGACCCAGGGCTGTGTCTGCCTTAACAAGACATGATATTGATGCCTGCAGTGACCCCGAGCTGATAGGCCTGGCATGGTTCCTACTTGCCAACATTGACTATTCAGGTTGGGAGCTAACCCCGCTCCCTGCCACTGGGATAGCAACCCATGAGCCTGCCAGCTGTGTCCCCAACAGGTGCTCAGTAATCCTTGATCAGCCCTGGAATATATACCCATCCCTGGCCACCTCTTTCTCATTTGGAGGGTCTGGTAACTCCCTCTGTCTCACCTGCCTTCCCCTTGTCCTTGTGTGCACATGACACATGAGCTGCCCAGTGGTCCTCACCATGGATGACTGGGGACCAAGGTACTTGAGAGGCTAGGCAGTGGTAGGTGGCAGGGCTCTGAAATAGTAAGTACTCCATAGCACTGAACTTTCATTGTTATCCCAACAGGCCAGCAGCCCTCAGGACCTGCGCCTGTTTTATGAGAAAAACAAGACACTAGTTCCTGCGTAAGCAACTCTCCATACTCCCCAGAGCAGGTCCACCCTGGCACCCTACAACTCTTGCTCAAACCCATTCTCTCTTTTAGCATCCCACGGGAGACATCAGCTCCTCTGAGGCAGCTGCTCCTGGCTCTGTTGCAGCGCAACCACAAGGACCGCATGGACTTTGGTGAGTACAGCCACTTGGCACCCTGCCCCCTTAGCTACCCCATTTGTCTAGGGTGTTACCTCTGGCTATACTTATGTTAGCTGTAGTGAGCACCCAGGCACCCATAGTCTACCATCTGCTGTCAGCCTCCAGGCCACAGTGCATTGGGCTTCTCCTAACCTCAGCAAGGCCAGCAGATTGAATTCCCCTGAAACAAGGGTCCGATGTTCTCAGGAACCACTAGCTGGGGCCTGGCCTTGACACCCAGGGCTCTATAGTCAGGCTGCTGGGTAAGGGGCATGAAGATAATTCACTCCTTTTATCCACAGATGAATTTTTCCACCACCCTTTTTTAGATGCCAGCACCACCATCAAGAAGTGTGAGTCCCTGAGGGTCCTGGGCACAGACAGGGCTTGTGACACGTTCCCCAATGTCTGTCGGTGTCACATGCTATTTTGGGGGACACCTTGGGAATGTGGGATACCCAGTTCTGCCCCAGCTTTAGGGTATGCATACCTGGGTGGCTTTGTAGGCTTGGGGGCACTGGAGGGACCAGTGAAGAGTGGTGTAGCCTGATGCTGGCTGCTTGTCACTGTGGTGAGAACTGGGATACTTGGGCCATTCAAAGGTATCCATGTCCTCAGAGCTATAGTGGGGGCCAGCGGTGTGCATACTGACCCACATCACTCTTGCAGCCCCACCTGTGCCTGTGCCCTCGTATCCAAGCTCAGGGTCTGGCAGCAGCTCTAGCAGCAGCTCTGCATCACACCTAGCCTCCCCGCCGGTGAGTTGACTTCTTGGGTTTCTGTTGGGACTTGGAATGCAGAGTGATTGGTGTGCAAAAATAGATCTAGCTACCTCTGGTCCTTACATGCTTCAGGCATGGTCTGTGTAACCTGTGTCCTGCATGACTTAGGGGCACAGTGACAGTGCTAGGTCTGTTGTTCATGCCCTATGGGGCTTGAGTCCCATCTGAATGTTCGCTAGTGCTTGGTCAGTAATAAGCTAGTGTCTGGGTTTGGCCCCACCCTCTAGGCTCTGCCATAATGGGGAGCAGATTCTATGGTCTATGTCTGGTGGTGGGGACTCCCCTCTGGGGGTGCTCATTCCATGAAAAGTATGCTTAAGCCATGCCAAGCATTGCCACCTGCAGTGGTAGCTCCCTAAAGGGACACTACCTCTATATCCCCTGGTTTGTAACTGTATAAAAAATGGGGAGGTGGGGTGAAGAGGAATGGATGGTAAATACTGTCCCAAGGTAGATTCTTCATGAATGGCTAGGAGCTGCAGGCTCCCAAGCAGTATATATATACACTAACACTAACTCTAAAGAGGGGCTTGTCTTTAATGTTTGAAAGAGAGTGCTGGAGATATAGCCCAGTGGTTAAGAGCACTGGCTACTCTTCCAGAGGTCTTGAGTTGAATTCCCAGCAACCACATAGTGGCTCACAACCATCCATAATGAGATCTATGCATACATGCAGGCAGAACACCGTACATGTGATAAATAAGTAAATCTTTTTAAAAAAAGAAAGAAAGAAAGCTGCTGTGCTGCAGAACATGTCCAAGCCCAGTACCCTTTGCTTAGCACCGTGGGCCTGAGCTCTACTGTGGCCTGCACCATTCTTGGGGAGGTTGATTGCCTGTGGGCGCTGTTAATCTCTGCTCTGTCCTGCAGTCCCTGGGGGAGATGCCGCAGCTGCAGAAGACCCTTACCTCCCCTGCCGATGCTGCTGGCTTTCTGCAGGGCTCCCGGGACTCTGGTGGCAGCAGCAAAGACTCCTGCGACACAGATGACTTTGTCATGGTCCCAGCCCAGTTTCCAGGTCAGGTCCCACTACACAGGCAGGCAACCTCACAGTATTTGTTGGGAGTGTAGGGGTGTGTTAGGCAACTGGGTACATGCATGTGATTGTGGGGTTCAGACCCGTTTCTAGAGCCCTGAGCTTGCTAGGGAGGATGTCATCACCACAGGTGTGTCTGGAGAGCCCTGTCCCCAGCTTCCAGAGTATAAAAAAGAGGGACGCATATGGTATATATACAACACAAAGGTGGCTCAGGACTGCCACCCCAGTGTCCACTTTTGTCTTAGAGTAGACTGCCCTTGCACTGGGACCCCACAATGCCACTGTATTCGCAAATAACTACACTCTCTGGGGAGAAAAGGAACATTGGACAGAGCACAGAGAGCCAGAGAGAGGGTCAGGTGAGCCAAGGAGGACACCTTAGTCAGATGTTTTCTTCTTCCACAGGTGATCTAGTAGCTGAGGCAGCCAGTCCCAAGCCCCCTCCTGATAGCCTGCTGTGTAGTGGGTGAGTCAGTCTCTCTTGACCTTTGCTCAGGAATAAATTGGGCTAGTGCTATCCTGCCTCATCCAGTCTTGGCCTGGAATAGGCCATTTGGGAAGGACTAGGGCTGCTGGGCCCCTTTAGGGAAGCCTGGGGAGGGAGTTTAGGGTCTGGATGTATCAATCTAAAAGTTGTCTGCGTGTCCCTTCTTCTACCAGGAGCTCGCTGGTGGCCTCTGCTGGCCTAGAGAGCCATGGACGCACCCCATCTCCCTCTCCAACCTGCAGCAGTTCTCCCAGCCCCTCTGGGTAAGCATAGATGGGAATCAGTGTTCCTCAGCTTCATGGCCACCCTTCTTGGCAAAATCTGTTGTGTCTAAAAGTCCTCTATGTGATCAAATCTGGCCAGATATGGCAGTGTGGGTGTCTCACTGAAGGACTGTTGTTGATGTGTGGCTGGATCCATGAGGGGACCAACTGAGGATACTACCAAGAGGACTTCTCTAGATTAGGTTAAATAAAGCAACATACATGTTAGGGGTGGGGGATCACAAAGACACAGATTTGGATGGGTACAGTGTGAAAGCCAGCTCTTCAGACCTCTCTACCCTGAGTCTGGTCCTGAGCCTCTTCCCAGTGCTGTCTACAGTGGTTACCTTCTCTCCACAGCCGGCCTGGCCCCTTCTCCAGCAACAGGTATGGTGCCTCGGTCCCCATTCCTGTCCCCACTCAGGTGCACAACTACCAGCGCATCGAGCAGAATTTGCAATCGCCCACTCAGCACCAGACAGCCCGGTTAGTGTCTCTGACTTTAGTGAGAGTCCTGCCACAGCTGTCCTGTAGATAGACATGGAGTTTGTAGAGTTGTAACTACTGGGGGCTCCTGAGCTCATAAAACCCATCTTGTTGGCAAGCTATGTTTGGTAGACTAAAGTAAATGTTAGGGGTTGGTTGGGTATTTCATGTAACCCAAGAAGGCAACGTGGGTTAGCGGTTACAATGCCTGTAAACCAGAATAGCCAAGGAAAATCTGAGTAAGGTTAAGGGGCCCTCAGTGATATCAATTAGACCTCATGTGCCCTTGTTTTGTGCAGATCCTCTGCCATCCGAAGGTCAGGTAGCACTAGCCCTTTGGGCTTTGCGCGGGCCAGCCCATCACCCCCCTCCCACACTGATGGAGCCATGCTAGCCAGGAAGCTGTCATTAGGAGGTGGCCGTCCTTACACGCCCTCTCCCCAGGGTAAGTCTATATGGGGATGAGAACTTTCTTATCTGTGAGTGGGTGGAGTGGGCATGATGAGCTCCCCCACCCTATTTGTTGTGGTCTGATCTACCCACCCTTTTCCTACCAGTGGGGACCATCCCTGAGCGGCCTGGCTGGAACAGAGTGCCCTCCCCACAAGGAACTGATATGCGAGCTGGCAGGTCACCACGACCAGGTAGGTGTAGCACAGCCCATGGCCTGAGCGTCTGTACCTTACTTGGGGTTTCCTTCCTGTTGTTGAGGCCCCTGCTATTAGGGAGAAAGTAGGAAGTACTGTGAAATAGTCTAGCATCAACCTTTGGATCATAGAGGATGCTTTCTACCACTCAGTTACTTGTACTCCACAACCGTGTGGCTTTGGACAGACTGCTAAGCCCTTTTGTACCTCTGCTCCCATGGAGACTTCCTGAGGGTTCTTGTGTTCATGGAGTGAGGTGTCCTGAATGGTTGTTACAGAGACCTAGAGCGGGACGTGCCTTGTTTGGTACTTAGCCAATGTGCTTGGCTGAGGGACCTGAGGGTAGTAATGCAGCCTGTCCCTGTCCCTACCCCCAGGCTCCTCTGTGCCTGAGCACTCTCCACGGACCACTGGGCTGGGTTGCCGTCTGCACAGCGCCCCCAACCTGTCCGACTTCCATGTTGTGCGTCCCAAGCTGCCCAAGCCCCCAACAGACCCACTGGGAGCCACCTTCAGCCCACCCCAGGCCAGTGCACCCCAGCCATGCCCAGGGCTACAGTCTTGCCGGCCACTGCGTGGTTCACCTAAGCTGCCTGACTTCCTACAGCGGAGTCCCCTGCCCCCCATTCTAGGCTCTCCCACCAAGGTAATAACTGGGCTAATTTCTAGGAGGGCTGAGCTCTGGAGGAGATGGGGTGAGAAAGGAACTGGTCTCTGTCTTGGCTGCTTGTTAGGCTTCATCCTTGGGCTGCTTCCCTAGAGGTGCCTACAGGGGGTTAGGGGAAGGGAAATTAGAGGAGCTGGTTCTTGGAGGGCTTCATTTTGTAAAGCCTCACAGAATGGGACTGCTGGCTTCCCTGATAGGCCCCGTACTTCAGCCTTGGGAAGAAAGCCTGGGCCCCATCTCTCTTTACTGGGCCATGGCTCCTTTCCTGTGGTAGTGTGGCACCACAAGGTGTTTACTGAGATGAGTGGGTCTGATTCGAGTATACGAAAGAAATCTCAGACTAGGCATGGTGGCTCAGTGCTTAATTTGGAGGGATGGATTTCCTCAGCAGGCCCTATCTTGGGCTGTGGGTTCTGAGTCGGCCAGTCTGTTGGACCTTCTCAATGCTGTCTTTCCCTCCTAGGCTGGGCCTTCATTTGACTTCCCTAAAGTTCCCAGCTCTCAGAATTTGCTGACCCTATTGGCTCGGCAGGGTGTAGTAATGACACCCCCTCGGAACCGCACACTGCCTGACCTCTCAGAGGCAGGTCCTTTTCAGGGCCAGCAGCTGGGCTCTGGCCTGCGACCTGCTGAAGACACCAGGGGCCCCTTTGGACGGTAAGTGGTGGGGGTGGGGGTGGCGAGGGTGGGGGCTGTGCTCAGTGGCTGTCCTCCCTACTGTTTCTGATTTCGTGCCTTGGCTGCCCCATGTGGCAGGTGTTGGGAATTTGTGGTGGGCCCTTGCAGTTCAGCTTGTGAGTTAAAGAACTACAGCTCCTTATGCCTGGCCTGATGTATGGTTGTGCACAGAAATAGGTTCTGAGCCCTGAGGCCCTCCCAGCACATACTGCCTCCCCATTCCTGCCACCTCAGGTCCTTCAGTACCAGCCGTCTAACAGATTTGCTGCTTAAGGCTGCATTTGGGACACAGGCCTCTGACTCGGGCAGCACTGATAGCTTACAGGAGAAACCTATGGAGATTGGTATGTGAGGGATCTGTGGGGGTGTTGTGGGGAGTCTGACCCCAACCTGGTCTCTGAGCCTGCCTTGTTCTTTAGCTCCCTCTGCTGGTTTTGGAGGGACCCTGCATCCAGGAGCCCGTGCTGGAGGGGCCAGCAGCCCAGCACCTGTAGTGTTCACTGTGGGCTCCCCACCTAGTGGTACCACACCGCCGCAGGGTACCCGTACCAGAATGTTCTCAGGTGAGGGCTATGCCAAGGAAGAGCAGCACCTTGGGATGGGAATGGGGATTGGGATTCTTGAATGCAAACTCTTGTTCTGTAGCATAGTCCTAAAGGTCTATTTATGTAAGGTCTATGGCATTCCCAGTTTGTACATGGAGCAGGGATGGTAACCAAGATGGTGGTCTCCATGTCCAGCTGTCCTGAAAGGCCAACCTATGTTGGCTGGGAGTCTTGGCTAAAGAACAGAGCCCTCTGAGGGTCTTGTCACTTCAATGATGGCAGTGGTTGCCTTGCCTTACCTGTACCACCCGGTTTTGCACATGGCTTCACTGGCTTCTCTGAGCAGATGTGGATTGAAGTATTGGGAGCTAGAGCACTAGAGCCCTAGGGGTACTGGCATATTTGACTTGTTGTGTTCCCTATTAAGGCATCAGGATGAGGAATGTGAACTGAGGCACATCTGAACTCTAGAGATGGAGTTCAGAGGGCTAGAGATGGCAGGGTGAAAAGCAGGCATGTTGCCCATCCCTTACTAGCCATCTACCTACAGTGGGCTCTTCCAGCTCCCTGGGCTCTGCCGGCTCTTCTTCTGCACGACACTTAGTACCTGGGGCCTGTGGTGAGGCCCCTGAGCTTTCTGCCCCAGGCCACTGCTGTAGCCTTGTTGACCCCCTTGCTGCCAACTTGGAGGGAGCTGTGACCTTCGAGGCTCCTGACCTCCCAGAAGAGACCCTCATGGAGGTGAGGCTTGTGGGGAGGCGACAAGTATGGGTGCTCCCTTATGACTTGCCTGCTTAATACTTGGGGGAGAGAGACCCTTGGCAGATCAACCTTTCAGCCCTGCTACACACACATGTGTGTCCCAGGCTCTGACCTGTATTGCTTCCTCAGCAAGAGCACACGGAGACCCTACACAGTCTGCGCTTCACACTTGCGTTTGCACAGCAAGTTCTGGAGATTGCAGCCCTGAAGGGTAGTGCCAGCGAGGCGGCAGGGGGACCTGAGTACCAGCTTCAGGAAAGTGTGGTGGCCGACCAGATCAGTCAGTTGAGCCGAGAATGGGGGTAGGTGTTGCCTGGGACCTGAGAAGGCAGCTCCTGGGCATTGCTGGCCCTGACTTACCTCTGACCTGTTTGTTGACCTCTAGCTTTGCAGAACAGCTGGTACTGTACTTGAAGGTGGCTGAGCTTCTATCCTCAGGCCTACAGACTGCCATTGACCAGATCCGAGCTGGCAAGCTCTGCCTTTCATCTACTGTGAAGCAGGGTGAGGATGTGGGTTCAGGGATGTGGTGCTGTGGTAAGAGTGAGCAAGCCAGCCTGAGGGGGGATGCAGGACCGCCTGGGTGGGCCTGGCCTCTTGCTCAGAACATAGAGTAGGTACATGGGTTTACCCAGGGCAGAGCTACTTGGGATGATGTTGACCTTGCTACATAGGCCTGGGGAAAGCTGGGGGGCTATGGCTCCTGTCCAGGTGGAAAATGCTCCATTGGTGAGATGCTTTCCAGCCCTCTGATCCTGTGGGCCTGAAATGACTGACACTTCTACCCTAGTGGTGCGCAGATTAAACGAGCTGTATAAGGCCAGCGTGGTGTCCTGTCAGGGCCTCAGTTTGCGGCTTCAGCGCTTCTTTTTGGACAAACAACGGCTGCTGGATGGGATCCACGGTGTCACTGCTGAGCGGCTTATCCTCAGCCATGCCGTGCAGATGGTATGGGGCAGTCTGTGATCTGTGTGCTTTCTCTGGTGGGGCTTGGGATATTGTTCCTAGGGTTCTGGAGGTCTCTGATGTAAGGCGATGCTCTACTCAGCAAGCAGCAGGGGCTTCACATGAACTGGCATAGTGACCATTCACTGTGCACCTTATCAGTTCAGGTAGCATCCTAGACATCCTCTGTGAGATTCAGTTTCCTGGGCTAACATGAAAGGCCACATGTGAAGACCACACCCTGAAACAGGGCCTCTGCTTTGAGATTATTCACATATGAGGAACACATCTGCCAAAGGAAGGAACTAAGAATAAGTTGGCCTCCCTTATCTGTACTTCTTTCTAAGGTGGCAGTGACCTCACGGAATGACACCAAGTGAGTGCTCTGCGGGCTGCCCACTGTGTCACTTTGATTGTACAGCCCAAGCAGATAGGATATTTGCTACCAGGCAGCAGGCAGGCAGGTCAGCTGGCTCTATGAGCATCTGTAACTAATTCCTTAGTTATTTCCTTAGCCATCCCTAGGACATTATTAGATTATTAGCCTTTTTTTTTTTTTTTAAGACAGGGTTTCTCTGTGAAGCCCTGGTTGTCCTTGAACTTACTCTGTAGACCAAGCTGGCCTGCCCAGCCTCCTCCTGAGTACTGGAATTAAAGGTGTGCACCACCATTGCCTGGGCTAATAATTATCCATTCTTTTAATGATCACTACAAATGAACTTGGGTCAATACACAGTGTGCAGAGCATCAGGCCATTCCTGCCTGGCCCTGGCCCTACACAACTCTGCCTTTGTCTACAGGTGCAATCTGCTGCTCTGGATGAGATGTTCCAGCACCGAGAGGGCTGTGTCCCACGCTATCACAAAGCCCTGCTACTTCTAGAGGGCCTACAGCACACACTCACGGACCAGGCAGACATTGAGAACATTGCCAAGTGTGAGTACCTTTCTCTGGAAGCCCAAGTGGGGTGGTAGGTGTGGTCTCCCCACCTCATGCTCCCTCTTCCACAGGCAAACTGTGCATTGAGCGGAGACTTTCGGCCCTGCTGAGTGGAATCTGTGCCTGAATGCCTGCTACCAGCCTGCTGTGCTCTTGGAGCCAGTCCCCTCTGCTAACCTGCAGGGTAGGGTCTGAGACCTGGCAGACTGTCTTTCTTGTCACTGATGTGATGGTGCTGAGACTGCTGCCCGCCAGCTCCAGCAAGGATGCTTCATGGTGGACCTGTGCAGACTGGTGCAACTCTTGCTTCCTAGGTTGCCAGTCTCTGGTAGGTGGAGGTCAAAATGCCAGGGAAAGCTTCCTTGCCCACTGGGACAGAAGTTTCTGAGCATATCCTTCCCAGCTGGCTCCCTTGGCAGGCATGTGTGGCACTGAGAGATGGTAGGCTGGTGAGCGTGGGCACCTGCCACCTGCAGAGCCCTGGCAGCCCTGTGGACAGGCAAAGTCCTGAGACTGTTGCTGACTTCAAGCCAAAGCGAGCTTTTTCTCACAGCTCACTTGCCCCATTGCTCGTCCAGGAAAAAAAGGGTGTGGCCTTTTGGCCTCCTGATCTCTAGGAACCTCTCCCTCTGAGGCTACCCACCCAGCTTTGTAAGTCACCGGAGCACTTTATGCAGACAGAGACTGGAGAACCTCAGCCAGCAGTTCAAACTGCTGGGAACCCACCTCCCCTCCCTGGCTCTTGCTCTCCAAGATGCTGTACAGATGCAGACCATGTCTACGTGTATAAATAGCCCAGTGTGCACCTCCACCTGTGTCTGGTCTTTGGAGGAAAACACAGGCTTGCCTCATAGGGGAGAAACAGTCCTCCTGTTCAAATGTTCATTAGGGACAGTCATTGTGAAGCACCATGCTTTTTAAACTCAGAACTTCTACACTTTACTCCTAAAATGTGTCCACCTCCACCCCCAAACTCAGTTTTTCTTTAAAAAAGGAAAGTTCAGCTGGGCGTTGGTGGCACACACCTTTAATCCCAGCACTCGGGGAGGCAGAGGCAGGCGGATCTCTGTGAGTTTAAGGCCAGCCTAGTTTATAAGAGATAGTTCCAGGACAGGCTCCAAAACAATACAGAGAAACCCTGTCTCAAAAAAAGAAAAAAGAAAAAAAAAAAAAAGTTCAGGTATTTAAGAATTGGAAGGGTAAGGGTCGGGAATGCGGAGAGCATTGTTATTGTTCTGGATGTTTCCCATGGAGGAAACGGCACCAGCTGTGTTGTGTGGCTGAGAGTGAGATGAGGCTGCCTGCTGTAGTGTAGTGTGCATGTGTGAGAGTGTGGCTGGGGATCTCTACCCCTTTATCCTGTTAGATGGCAGAAAGGGCAGTGCCCAGACGCCATCCTCGTGCAGTTGATCTCTACCAATTTTTCCTGTTAGATGGCAGAAAGGGCAGTGCCCAGACGCCATCCTCGTGCAGTGGGCAGGTGTGGGTGGAAAATAACATATGCAAAAATGTCCCCCATGGAGCTCTCCTGTCAGTCTGGCCTCCTGTGCTTGATGGCCTTCAGGGTCTGTGCTGAAGCTTGTCTTCCAGGCTCCAGGGTGGACACAAGCTAATACCTTCCCAGCCTCCCAGGTCTGCTAGTCCTTTGTCACTGCTCTGTCCATGTGTACTTGAAAGTGTCCACGAGGCAGATGTGGGGTTACTATCCCCCAACAACGTTCACAGTTAGACCACACACACACATTTTTCTTTTTTTTTTTTTAGTTTTTTGTTTGTTTATTTTTGCAATACTTGAAATATTGCCACTGTGCTTGGACATACAAGAAAAGCAGATCTCTAAGACTAGCCTCCTCCCTAGTCACCCCATGACCTCCCTTGCATGTAACATGTTGTATTTATTGCTTTGTGGCCAACTGGAATCCAGAGCCACCAGAGAGGCTGGTGCAGGGGTCCCTACCTACCACCTGGTTCCTAATGGCTCCTGGGTGGCTTTGTATGTGTGTGGCTGGCTGTGTGTGGCATGAGCCAAACCTGCTGTCCAAAGCAGGGCTCAGCCCCTGTCAATTTTCAGATGAATTTTGTGTGAGTCCACCCCTTTTGCGTTTCACTGTGTTATATCAGTTTAAGGAAATAAAATTTGCAATTATTGATGTGGTATCACTGTTTGTCCTTGCCCTGCCTTTGGTTCCATCTTTGTAGGCTACCTTTGTCCTGCAGGGCTTCACAGTGCCAATGGTGGCCTACTCAGCCCTGGGAGCAATCCCCAGCTTGATCCAGGGATTATTGGGTAGATTCAATGTATAACCCAGTAAAAAGCAGTTTACACTGGGCCAGGAGAGGGTCTAGAGAAGGCAGGTCAATTCTCCAGGCCATTTGAGATCATCAGCTTTTGGTTTCTTTGGAGATGCACCAGGTTGAAGGTTTTACATTATGTGAGGCTCATGTTTCCTTCGAGAGACAGGGTATTAAATTCCCAGGCTCATGGTCTTTCTTCCCCTGCCTCTCAGACTTAGGAGTAGCTGGGACTGTGGCCACTTTGTATGCCTTATTTGGAGGAATGTTCAAATCCTTTGTGTCTCCCCCCATACTCTTATTTTAAGGCAGGGACTCACATAGCCCAGGTTGGCATCAGACATGGTATATTTCCAAAGATAACCGAATTACCAACCCTCTTAGGTGTATCATACTTAGTTTCCTTAGTCAAAACTAGAAAGGTTAACCACAATACTGAAAATGAAAATTCATTAAGAAGGCAGAGTTCACGCACGCCTTTAATCCCAGCACTGGGGAGGCAGAGGCAGGCGGATCTCTGTGAGTTCAAGACCAGCCTGGTCTACAAGAGCTAGTTCCAGGCAAAAGCCACAGAGAAACCAAAAAAAAAAAAAAAAAAAAAAAAAAAAAAGCAAGAGAGTGGAATGTGGAGACCTTGCTGGTTTCAGTAGGAGGGACTCAAGAGGGAAGGAGGTCTGCCTAGGGGTGAGGCTGCTGCCCACAGGAATAACCAATGGCAAGACATCACATGCTCATGGAGTCCTGTAGGAGCCAATAGACAATTTTTATGCCCTTTTGAGACTGTCTCTCTTTGAGAAACAAATATGGACATTTTACGAGGCATGGAGACTCTTAACTAACCTGTAGGTGTAACAATGGCCTATGACATCAGAAAAATTAGAAGCACTAGAACACCTGGTATAGGAGCCTGGAAAATCTTTGCCTTCTCAATTACCTACTGAATTTTTTTTTTTTTTTACTATTCCTTTATGTAAAATTTATCATTATATGGATGATATCTTACTAACTCAGACACAGATACCTTAGAAAAAAATGTCTGAAGTAGAGAATTTTGCTTGCTGGGGATTAGAAATTGCTCCTGAAAAAAAAATGCTATCAGTTATCTAGGATATAAGAAAGGTTTACAAAAGCTGGGCGGTAGTGGTGTACCCCTTTAATCCCAGCACTTGGGAGGCAGAGGTATGTTCCAAACCAGCCTGGTCTACAAGAGCTAGTTCCAGGACAGCCTCCAAAACCGCAGAGAAACCTATCTCAGAAAAAGAAAAAAAAAAAAAAAAAGGGTTTAAAAAAAAACACAAAAAAAAAAAAAAAAAAAAAAAAAAAAAAAAAAAGGGTTTACAGAAAATCCAACCACAGAAAATATAAATTGTAATCAATTACAAACTCAATAATTTTCAAAAATTGATGGGAGATATTAACTGCCTATGGCCCACAACTGGATTAATTACTAAAGAGCTAAGTGAGTTATTTCAAACTTTATAAGGTAATAAGGACTTAAATAGTCCAAGAAAATTATCAGCTGAGGCTGAGCAAGAATTGGCTCTGATAGAAAAGAAATTACGGAATGCACATGTGGCTCACTTGGATCCAAAGCTTAATTGAATTTTTAAAATATTTTATTTATTTATTATGTATACAACATTCTGCTTCCATGTATATCTGCACACTAGAAGAGGGCACAAGATCCCATAATAGATGGTTGTGAGCCACCATGTGGTTGCTGGGGATTGAACTCAGGACCTCTGGAAGAACAGCCGGAACTCTTAACCTCTGAGCCATCTCTCTAGCCCCCCCCCCCCAGTAATTCTTATTCAGAGAGAAGATAATATCTTAGAATGGGTATTTTTAGCACTAGAGTAAAAACAAAGACCAATGCAGAAAAGGTTTCTGAATCGAATCTGAAAGGAAAAATGAAACTTTGTCAGTTACCAGAAACAGACCCAGCAGAGTTGTTGTTGTTTTTTTTTTTTTTTTTTTGAGGCAGGGTTTCTCTGTGGCTTTGGAGGCTGTCCTGGAACTAGCTCTTATAGACCAGGCTGGTCTCGAACTCACAGAGATCCGTCTGCCTCTGCCTCACGAGTGCTGGGATTAAAGGCGTGCGCCACCACCGTCCGGCCCAAGCAGAGTTTTTACTATGCTGAAATTACCTCAGTATGGACAGAAAATGAACCTTGGCAAAGAGCTTGCAGTAATTTTTGGGGAGAGATTAACAACAAATATTCCAAAATCAAGAGGTTTTGGTTTGTAAAAAGAGCTAATTGGATTCTTCCTCATATAGTAAAAGAGACACCAATTTCTGGAGCCCCTACATTCTATACTTCCACAAATAAATCCGGAAAATCAGGTTAGTAGTCTAGAAAAATAAAGTGGCTCAAAGCCCTTACAATTCATTAAAAAAAAATCAGAGCTGTATGCCATTCTTATTACAGGATTGTTACTGACTGTCAATATGGAGAAAGGGGTTGTTTTTTGTTTTTGTTTTTGTTTTTTTGAGACAGGGTTTCTCTGTGTAGCTTTGGAGCCTATCCTGGCACTCACTCTGGATACCAGGCTGGCCTCGAACTCATGGAGAGCTGCCTGCTTCTGCCTCCCCAGTGCTGGGATTAAAATGTCACACAATCTTATAGGACAAGTAGTTATAGAAATAACTGGGCCAGGCAGTGATGGCACACACCTTTAATCCCAGCACTTGGGAGTCAAAGGCAAAGGCAGGTGGATCTCTGTGAGTTCGAGGCCAGCCTGGTCTACAGAGTGAGTTCCAGGACAGCCTCCAAAGCCACAGAGAAACCCTGTCTCAACCCCCCACCACCAAAAAAGAAATATCTGATTACACTTTAAAAGATATACTTAATAAACAGAAGGGGATAATAAGGACCCCCAGAGGTTACACTGTGCTTGAAAAACTTTAAATTTTTAAAAATTATTGTTCCCTGGGGGACCAGCCCCTAGCAGCACAGGGTTGGCAGGGAATCAGTGGAGTAGGCATGTATTATGACTTTTTTACTGAGGGGGTTAAGGGGAACGACACTAACACACTCTCTTGATAGTTTCCTTCTTTATTCTTCTGTATTCTTTTAGTGTTTTTTCTACCCCCTTCCACCTTCGTTTTGTTTTTGAGACAGGGTTTCTCTGTGTAGCTTTGGAGCCTGTCCTGGAACTTGAACTCGAGATGCAGACCAGGCTGACCTCCAACTCACAAAGACCCACCTGCCTCTGCCTCCCTAGTGCTGGGATTAAAGCCATGTGCCATCACTGCCCAATTCTATCTTTATTTATTCTTGATGTTATCCTCTTAAATCCTTCTAACTCTCTCATTTTTTTAAGATTTATTTTTATATGCATTGGTGTTTCACTTGCATGTATGTCTGTGCAAGGGTGCCTTATACCCTGGAATTGGAGTTACAGACAGTTGTGAGCTGCCATGTGGGTGCTGGGAATTGAATTCAGGTCCTCTGGAAGAGCAGCCTAATTTGGGAAAGGAGGTCTGGGATAAAGTCAGGTTTATTCAATGCACTCAGG